CAGCATGCCTGCGCCTTCCTGCCTCCCTCCCTCTGCCTTTGTTATCCAGGAAACAGCGATGCTTCCACTGAGAAGCTCAAAATTGGATTTTTTCCTTATTTTTCCCCCCACATAATTTCCCTTTCCAACACAATTTGAGCTCCAAGCACACGTAACGAAAGCATTTGCAATGAGGCCAAGCGGTGTTTGCTTCGAGGGGGTGGCGAGCAGCCTGGAAAACGCATGCCTTGAAAATACCTACTTGTGAACACGCTGACAAATTACACGGAGGTGTCTCGGCCGCATATTTTTACAGGTCACTGGTCACCTGCGGTCTGAACTGGGATGGTGGCTGCGTAGCGCAGAAAGCAGTTGCTAACAGGAAAGAAATTGCTTTAAATTCTGGGGAATTCTCTTGCAATGGCTTACGGCAGTGACCTCAGCACGGGACAGCGAGACGCTGAGAGGTATTTGGCAAAGCAAGGTCGGGTCTCCTGAGGGAGCTGCTGGGGGCCTGCGGACATCAGGCCAACCAGCAGCTGTAGCTTCAGCCCGGGGACATCCCCGCAGCCTTTGCAACACCAGAATGGATCATCTTTTACATCAGCAGAGAAGACACAAGCAAAAGATAAGGCATTGCAAGCAAAGGGTCTGCTGTGAGAGAGATATACTAACACCTGTCCCTTTAGCTCGCTGTCTTTATAGTATCTGATACCTGGCAGCTTCAGTGGAATCTTTCAAATGTTGACGATGCTGTGGGATGTCACAAGCCGTTTCTAAAAATGAAAGATACTGTGAGTCACCAGTCTTTTTTTCCAATAAGAAACCTGAGTAAGCTCTGGGTCTGTCCGGCCCCTGGTTTATCAGGTTTTCTGTCATACAAGACGCTGGACATGAAAAGATTTTGATTTGTTTAGATAGGTTACCCAGTTCACTGGAATTGTGTGTGTTTCAGACACAAACAAACTTTCCTGCAACTAGCTAAAAGTGTCACATGGCAAATTTCTGTTCTTTTACTCATCCTAGAACTGTCATTTTTTTTGCATGTCCTGTAAATCCCCAAACACTGCTGCACAGAGTTTCTTTCTCCCCCCTCCCGTTTTTTTTTAATGAAGTTGAACTTGCATAGGAGGCCTTTTAGAACATAAATAGGGCTGCTGCTAAAGAACTGATTGAACAGCAAATCTGACCATTAGCAAGAGATCTCTTCTTCCTGAAAAGAGCATAAAACATGAAAAGGGACCAGCAGGCAGCAGAATTCCCAGGCTATCCTTTATAAACAATTACCATTTATTGCTAAATGCGCATAAAAATCCAGAAAGGTACCTCAAGATAAGGCCATTAGTGTAGGTATAGGACAAACATAAGAAGCAGCCAACAACATAAACCTGGCAGCTCCAGCTTCTCTGGAGCAGTAGGACAGCGCTGGAGATACTCAGCAGTTCCTCCTGCCTGTCTGCGCGTAGCCGACGTGCTCGCAGCCCGCCCGCAGCGTGATGGAGCTGCCTTGCTCCGCGCGGAACGCGGACGCAGCTCCTTCGCAGCATGAGATTAGCAGATACACAGACCACGGGCAGCTTTTATCTTTCATGTGGCCTGAGCAGAAACATACACTGCAAAGCACTTAGGCCTGATACAAAAAACTTATTTGCGAAAGAAAGTGCTTAAAGTACTGAAAATAAAAGATCAACATTCAATTTAGCATGTAAAGTATTATGGTTTCCTAAAATAAATAAGCACATAACTGTGAGAAAGGGAAGTCAGTGTTTTGCTCTCGGCACAGCCCTCCCGGCAGCCAGCACGGGCGG